TACTTGCTTGGTCAGCCTAAGCATTATCAGAGCACGCCCTTCCATTCAGCATTCAGAGCTCCTGTATGATCCAGATGCTTACATACCACTTTCGGCTAATTTGTACAATTGACTATGACAGGGCATGATCACAAAGCTTCCTTTCTCTTGGCAGCAGTGGTAGAGATGTAAAGACATATAAACTAATAACAGAAAGTGGTTTTCTGTCATGAATCAGTAACGTAATTAGCACTTTTATCAGTGCATGTTTAAATCATTGCTCAACAACAAAAATACCACAGTGTCTCTGAATTTAGATATTACATTCTCAGAGCCTTTGAATTTTCTCTGATTAGCCTTTGGAACTCCTCCTCTCTCCATTAGACTCTAATGGAGTGAGAAAAGGCTTACATATGTTAACATAGATGATAAATGTGGTTTCTTATGAACCGTCTCCTCAAATGTAAAATAAACTCAGTTTCACATAGGTGAAATTGATCCCAGATTGTAAGTTGCTATATTTTATTTGATGAATCATATGAATTAATACATCTATTATTGGATTCAGATCAGACACATTAACAAACTGTAACATAGCAATTAGAACTGCAAATAAAGTTAAATAGATAATAAACAAACTGGTACATGCAGACAATGGTATATTATTACTCAGCACTTAAAAAAAAATGAGCTATCAAGACATGAAAAGACATAGAGGAAACAAATCCATGTTACTAAATGAAAGAAGCCAATCTGAAAAGACCACACACTGCATAATTCCAACCATATGACATTCTGGGAAAAGCAAAACTACGAAGACAGTAAAAAGATCACTGATTGCCAAGGATTATCAAGGAGGGGTGAATAAGCAAAACACAAAAGATTTTTAGGTTTGAGAAGCATCCAGGAGTGAACCCTAATGTAAATTATGGACTTTGGGTGGTAAGGCTATGTCGATGTAGTTTCATCAGTAGTAAGAGATTACCCATCCTGGTGTGGGAGGTTGATAGTGGAGGTGGGTGTGCAAGTGTGGGGAGAAGCAAGTGCATAGGAACTCTGCACTTTTGCTCAATTCTGCTGTGAATTTAAAACTGCTTAAAAAAAATTAAGTTTATTTATTTTTAAAAAAGTAAGTAGATCACAAAGACCATCATGTTTTTCACCCGAAAATAGAGGTCAAATCTTATTTCAACAGATATTTTTATAGAAATTTCTGTCACAATAAAGTATGCAAATACTTTACAAACTTAATAATAGAATCCTCAATAAAATTTAAAATTCTGGAAAAGACTATATTTCATAATATTAATACTAAATTTTAACTTATAGCTGCATTATTTTGGTGATATAATAAAAGATTGCATTATATTCAGGGGTAGTTGTAAATAAACATTATCATGTCCATAAGGAAATGTGGCAAAATTATTAAGCTTTGCTGAAGGTACCAGCTGTAAAGAACTTGACAAACTCTTGAGAGACATGTATTCCTAGAAAGTGAGTATATTATGTAGAATAAATTACATGAAAATATTCTTTCAGTGCATATTTTCTTCACCGATGAGAGTTTTTGTTGGCAGCTGTCTGATATATTTTCCCAAACATCTAGGTCTTATTAAATAAGAGATGTGAACTTTTCTATTATGGACCATCAACTAAGCAAAACTAGAAAACTGTCTTCAGTAAGAATTTCTAGGCCACCAAACATTCTGACTTAACTTGCATGAATCGAGACATGTTTAGTATTTATCTGAGATAAATTTTGATAAGAATTATAAGCAATAAATCCATTGTAAAAATTCCTATTTTTGTCTTCTGTTATAAAATTGAAGGCATTAAAAGTTAGATTCACACAGATTTTACATTGTTTGAGACTAGAACACAATTATTGGTCCCTCGGCCAATATAGGACACCCCCAAAGTTGATCTTTATCCATTTCATAGGATGCCCCACATGTGTTTAATGTGTATAATATCTAAGACAAATTTTCATCAAAAGAAACAGAGGAACATAGGCATCTTTGTTTACACTGTCACCCCTTTATCTGGCAGCCAGTTTCGCTAGTCTACTTTTTCAAAAGTAAAAGGTAGCAATGCCTTTCAACTATTAAATCACTGAGCTTATAAAAACCGTGTCACATGTGTTTGCACAGATCTAGCATTCCAGGGTCTAACTTACTGCTTGCAAAGGGCATTCCATATTCCGTTCTAAAAATAAAATATATTAAATAACCAAATTCTATCTCATGTTATAACTCACTTCATTAGTGGAATGGGAGCTGTATTTCCTTCTTCTGAGGCTAAAACATATCTGTCTATTTCAAAGGGAAGCATAGACTAAAAATCAATGTATTTATTCCTCAAATAGAGGCAGAGTAATAATTTCCACTTTCCTTAAATCTTCCCCCTTTCAATGGGAAAAGGGAGGTGTGAGAGAAGAGACCATTACAGAAATACAGTAACTCAAAATTAAAGGATAACCAAAGATCTTAGTGTATACCTAGAGTTCTTACCAGAATCTAGTAAAATAAATAAGTATAAATGAAAATGATTGAGCTCAAGTTGTTTTACTCACCTGCTGTTTTTCAGCCCCTAGCCCAGAGTCTGGGATATAACATACCTACTATCTTTTGAATGAATAAATTATATATAAACTAAAACAATAAAATAGAGAAAGTAGATACTTTAAGGGGAAAATGAAACAAAAGTACTCCAGAAGTATGGTGAGATCAATGGGAAGACAGCCTTCTCACAATCTTTAAAGTGAAACTGGGAATACTGTCACTTGAAGACATGACGTAAAAACTCCCATGGAGACACATGAAGGCAGCAATCATGAGCAATGCAGATCTGGGAGCACAATTTTATTCTACAGCGTCCTAGGCTTCCATGCCTGCCTCTGAGTTTGTTCTCTAAAACCTCAAGCTGTTTTATCAGGTTCCACAGTGGCTATAAATACAGCTGATTATTGTCTGTGTGTCTAGGATACTGCTTCATAACCCGAGGGAAACAGAAACAGTCAAAGCACCCCAGGAGAGGAAACTCACCTGGAGCCTGCAAGCATCCTCAAAGTAACCTAAACAAAGCCCGAGCAGGAACTCCCTGGAGAAAGCCTTCTATGATGCAGAGAAAAATCAATGTGGAAAAATGCCCAAAGGGGAAGAGGGCAGACCTGGAGTGTTGTTATTGTTGATCCCGCTTGCAGGTTATGTGTACAATATCAGCGCTCAGAAGGAACTTCAGAAAGACTGTCTTTCTGGGTGCCCTGCTGTTCTCCTTTAGTCAGAATCCACCACTCATGCAGATGTTTCTATTTCAAGACTTCCAAAAGTGATGATTCTGTGATCTCTCCAATGTGACCAAGGCCTGCTCCAAGTCTCAGACTTCCTACATGTTCCTTCCAATAAATTGAATCAATACATGTCACCTCTTTCCAATAACTCAAAGCAAGGTATTTGACTTCTGTGGTACATAATGAGACTAATTGAACAACTGTATGCTGGTAAGCACTGTTATTTATATTGTGACTAATTGCTTCAAAGCGTAGTCACAGCACTCATAAAAAATTTTAAGTCTTGTGTTATCCCAAAGAGCATGGTGCCATAGACAAGGAAATCCAAAGAATACATTATGAATTAGCACAAAATCCCCTTTATATCATTCTCCTTACAGCTCAGTTAAACTCTCTTGACTTAAAGCTCTGACTCTGTCCACATGTCAAAAGAGAGGTGGTGAGTGGTCCTCTTGGTAAGCACTCTTTACAGCCTGGATAACCATTCCTAGAAATCACCCCTCAGCCTTCTCAATACTCAACCAACACCTTTACCTTCCCTACATGCTGAATTACTCCCAACTAAAACCCCTAAGCTAAGGAATTCTCCAATCTCTTCATGTTTCTCCTCAACTGAGAATAGTAAGAAGTGAGTCAACACTTAAGCAGCTTCAGAAATGTGGTCTCACATGTTCTCATCTCAGAACCCTGTTCAATTTAAATCCACTAGTACGTGCGACTTGTTCATGGCACCTGGTTGTGCTCAATATGAGGATTGAGAGTCCACAAAGGCTCTTCTAAGTTCTTTGAAAACTACTGGAGGACAACAGAGCACATTTTCTATTACATCAACAAGGCACTCTTGAAAACCACTTAAAAAGGACTTAATATCAACCCTGATAAAATTCCTTTCTCTATGGTCTCTGAAAGGAAACAGAGATAAATCACTGGTCCTGACTATTACCTCCCAGTCAAACAGCTAAATGTAAATAGCTGCATCATTAGATCATTAAAAAAAAAATTACCTATAAGGATATAAAGAAAGTTGAGTGCCGAAGAATTGATGCTTTTGAATGGTGGTGTTGGAGAAGACTCTTGAGAGTCCCTTGGACTGCAAGGAGATCCAACCAGTCCATCCTAAAGGAGATCAGTCCTGGGTGTTCATTGGAAGGACTGATGTTGAAGCTGAAACTCCAATACTTTGGCCACCTGATGCGAAGAGCTGACTTATCGGAAAAGACCCTGATGCTGGGAAAGATTGAGGACAGGAGGAGAAGGGGACGACAGAGGATGAGATGGTTGGATGGCATCACTGACTCGATGGACATGGGTTTGGGTAGACTCCAGGAGTTGGTGATGGACAGGGAGGCCTGGTGTCCTGCGGTTCATGGGGTCACAAAGAGTCGGATATGACTGAGCGACTGAACTGAACTGAAGGATATAATATGGATCTAAGAGCTCCCAAAAAGAATGTTTTCCATTTTGAAAAGAGTGTCAGTAGTGTTAGTTGCTCAGTCACATCCAACTCTTTGTGACCCCATGGACTATAGCCGCCAGGCTCTTCTGTCCATAGAGTTCTGCAGATAAGAATACTGGAGTGAGCTGCCATTCCCTTCTCCAGGGGATCTTCCCCACCCAGGGAATGAACCCAGGTCTCCTGCATTGCAGGCAGAGACTTTACCATCTGAGCCACCATAAAGCCAAAGTGTGTCAGTATGTGTGTGTTAGTTGCTCAGTCATGTCTGACTCTTTGCAACCCCATGGACTGTAGCCTACCAGGCTCCAATATAGTGCCACACTATTTATTTTACTTTTCAGATCAAAGCTGAAATAGGTACTCAAGTTGCCACTTTATCAACTCCTTTGATCGGAACAAGGTGCTCTGTCCACGTATGAGCAGTAGAGAAGAGCTGGGTGTGAGGAGAGGTCTTGAGTGTGGTTTAAGATGTACATACAAGCACCAGAGTGGATAAACTGGTCATTATACAATTATAAATTGGTCAGGATTTGGTCATTATACATCATTTAGGGATTTATTAAGACTTAATTTCTTCCACACACTAGGCTTATTGCAGTTGAGGTTGTCCCAAATGCAGACTAGCTTCGTGTAGTGTTACTGGTATAGTGGTGAACATAGCTGCCTTCCAGACTAGCTTCACCTGCCTACCCTTTTTAAAGTATCTTCAAATTGTTCTTAGTGCTTATCTAGCATTACTATTACTTTCACTAGAAAGAGAAGCAAATCTTAAATGCATTTTTAAGCATGATCGTGAGAAGGGAACATTGAATGGTTACTATATGCCCATCTCTATATTGTTATTTCACTATCAAAAAAAAAAAGACCTTTTGAGGTAGGTATTATTTCCATCTTCCAGTTGAATAAGCAGGGTCACAGTGTGGCTAAGAAATTTTCTTCAGGCCACACAGTAGGCAGAGTTTATTTAAAACCAGACTAGGGCCACAGCCTGTGCCAACTTCTCTGAATTGTTTAGACCAATTTCATTCACCCCATCTCTCTTTTCTAGAATTCCACAAGTTGTGAAAAATTACAGTTAATCTAAAATGGCTTTTCATTTATATTAGTTTATTTTTCTTGCATATATGCAATAGATGCTGATGGTATCTAGCATATTTATCCTTTAATTCTTCCATACTCATGCTATATCATTTGTTTTTTTTATAACTTTCCCTAGCTTTTCTTTCTGGAGTGAACAATTTCTAATACAATAAAAATACTTTGGCCATTTCAGGATTATCTATCATTTGTTTTCCCTGTGGATCAAATAGAATGGAATGGTCTTTAGCCACAGTTTAGGCAAAGGTTAGAGGAGAGGCCACATGTAATTTCTAGTTCTCTTTCTTCATCATTCAAGGACATGATGCTTGCTTTTGGTTTTATGTCATCTACAAACAATCCTTTCATATTCACTTTTCTGATCTTCATGTCTTGAATACTAAGCTCTCTGCTGCAAACAGATAACCAGGCTTTGGAGAAACCCTTAGTTCCACAGTCCTTGCTAAGCCATCAATTTAATCAATTCAATGGCTATCAGAGAAGCATTTTCACTTAACCTGATGGGAATTCCAACTTAAATAATGCATTACTTGAAAGGAAAGAGTTTTGGTTGTCAGATAAGACCATGTGGTACAACCAGGATGCAAAACATAGTGACTGAGAAGTGTTAACAATCTGTTAAATATTGTGAGTGCTACATGTTACAAAGGCAGAGGCTGTGTTTCAGGCTGTAGCACCATGGAGAATACCAACATTTGAGGTCAATCTGTTACTGTCATGAAAGTTGAGGCAGAGTGAACAGTGCCTATAGTGAGCAACAACATAGTACCATGCTTTCTTTTTCTCTTCTCATCTCCCATCATGGCAAGGATTCTTTCTGCAACTTTGTACAGGTGGAATGTCAAGTCTATTACATCCAAAGATGGTACAAGCTCTTTTTCTATGAAGAGAGATAAGACTTCCCCCTTCACAGTTATACAGCAGCAGCAAAAAGAGGGTCTAAAACAACTGTGCATCACACTGGGAGCCAGTGAAGGAGAGAAGTGAGAGCAGGTGCTCGGCTGCCTGGTGAATGGCCCATTTAAAAATTCAACAATAGTCAAAGGGGTGCAGGGAACACAAGAGCCACCTCCGTGATTGGGAAAATGAACACTTCCCAATTCAGTGTTAACTCATGCCCTGAAAGAAGCCACACTGTAAATCACATTTCCAAAAACCTCCTGCATCATTTACCTTCCAAAATAATATTTTATAAGCATTCTCATAGAAAGAGCTACGCAAACAACAAATTCTAGTGCTTCTTCAGTTTCATATGTCACTATGAGATATTAATTATTAGCTAGATAAAATAGGTAAAAGCAGCTTTAACATGGCAGAGCCAATGAATTATCTTTCATAACTCTTTTGAAAAGCAAATGTAGATATAAAAGCTCAAGTAAAAAACACGTTAAGTGCATTGTGTCTAGACTCTGCCAAGAAAACAAGCAAATTTAAGTACACAAAATGAAGATTTTACTAAACCAGAATTTCAAATCAATGTAAAAAAATTCAGCCTCATATTTTAAATGTGTCTTGTCATTAGCATTTTATATTTATACAAGCTTTAGGGTGAATGTGGCTGGATATTCAAGATGTACATGCATCCTACATGGTGAATAGCACCAACATAGTAAAATTATACAAGTGAAAAATGCTTTTCAGGTATCCCTCCTCTTAAAATTTCTGTAAACTCTACCATAAGCAGACTATGAGAAAAAAGATCAAGCATACAAGGATATTTCACTATATCAGAAGAAAACCTTAGAAATGGTGTGTCAAGGCAGCAGAAAAATGAAGTATAGGTGATTATTGGGTACCACAAGACTAAGGATGAGGCAAACATAGAGCAGGAAAATATGAGGAGGAAAAATCCAGGCCCGTCTGTACAATACATGCAGATTTTTTTCAAATGTAAATTTTAAAGTGAATGCTGCTTTTATGTCACTGGATAAAGGAAAGCATAACAAGGCTGCTCTGCTTCCCCTTAAGCACAAGCGCATAAAGAGAGTAAGGGATGTGAAAAGCCAATTCTTTGTGCCACTACTTAATCAATTGCACTCAGTTCTACTCAATGACACAGCCACAGTGCAAAGACCACTCAGCAGTTAATGGATATGATGTTGGAAAAGCACTCTGAGGTCTTCCAAAGCAAGGTAGGGGGAAAACCCAATGGAACATGGTTTTACTACTTATTCACAATAACTGAGCAGCATTATGTACAGAACTCCCATGACCTGAAAAGAAAGTAAGATATTCATTTATTTTTCTAATTCTGATTCTTCCATAGGAAATCACTTCTTTCCAAAGCTTGAAATTGGAGTCGAGTTATCCTGTGTCCTAGTCTGGGCTTGTCAGGATAACCATTACGGCTGTAAGGAATAAATATGTGCTTCAAGTGGTACAGCCTACGTTTACAATCTGTCAGAATGCAGAGCTGAGGAGGAGTTATGTGTTTTTAACTGTATGCATCCATCACTAGCTATCATTCTTCCCACAGACAGTGAAAAGTCAACAATGAAACATAAAAGCTAAAAATAAGTGACAGCAATTGCTCAGAAGAGCTGCACGTGGGGCTCAGTGTTACACGTACACACATTCCTTCCCTTTTTTTATGACTGCCAATTTAAAGTAATTGAAATTAAGGGCTCAGACCTAAGAAAATAAACATGCAATGCACAATAATGTAAAAGTCAGTCAGAAGTAAAATTTCATGCTCATAAACACATGATCAGTGTTCTAAATGGTATGTGACCAGAATGCAAGTGGTGACTAATATATGTTGCTGCAAATACCACGAAAAATGACAATATAGGCACTTCAAATGTTCAAAGAAGAATCAGCGTCATTCCTCACAAACTGAAAATATTCTTCATTCATGTTATAACATGTTCATTTCTAAGTATCAATCAAATCAACATTTATTAAAGACCTATTGTAACAATGCACTATGCTTTGATGGTCAAAAATATTGCATTAAAAATATGGTTTACATGCAAGTGCACAATCAAAATATATGTATGAGTGAGTATATTGTATTGAATATAGAAAAAGTATCACCTAGGAGATCACTAGATTCAGAAAAATCAATACACCCATGACTTAAATAGGTTTTTTTGGTTTTCTTCTCATTCTATAATAATTTGTCAGGTAAGAAAAACAGCATAAAAACCTTGAAAGTTTTAACTTTGAAATCTCACATGCTCAAAAGGAGACAAGTTGGCTTGTAACAGTAGTTTTCTAATTCTTTTACAGATTCAAAATGGTTCACCTAACCAAATCTCATAGGAAACCACAATATATAAGATAAAAAGAGCTATTTAATTCATATAAATTTGCTTTATAAGTACAAGTTTAAAACATTTATTTGTTAGTCAAATAAATGAAGTTTTTTTTTAATAAAGAGGAAAATGTGAAATGGGGGATTATGGATGACAGCTACATTCTTTTATGAGACTCGGGGTCAGATTTATTTCTGTATTTTGAAGTGTTTTGCACCATATTAAGGAAATTCTCATTCCTACACACAAGTGGTTTACAAATTGTTAACTTTTAACAGCACTCTTACTGTTAAATCTCAAGGAGCAGAGGCAGCCAGAGAAGCTTCATGCCAGAGCCTGAACCAAAACTCAATAACCTACTAACACAAATTAACTTATCATCATTCATCTCAACCATGATGACATTTCCCATAAAGTATACTCGACAGCACACATCTGGGCTTTTTTTTTTAATTATAGTATTTAAATCTAAATCAAACCTTTGAGAAACTCAAAGATCCTCCCACCCTCACAAGGTCTTAGGGGTTAGTAAAATTCAATTCCTTCTTACAGCCTGTCTGTAAAAAGCCTGCCAGCAAGCACTGAGTTGGTTATCAGTAATCGAAACACATATCACCAGGGTGGGTACAGCCCACAAACACCTCTTGCCAAACCTAGGATTCAAGCAGTGTGTGCCACCTGCAGACCTGCTGCCCTTTGTTCTCCTTCATTTCCCCCCAGTGGTCTCGCTCCTCCTCTCCACTGCTGTTTTGACCCAAAGCAATCCAACCAATCATCTCTTTACGCTTCATGGTACGCCTGTTATACACAGAAATCATCAGTGTGACATCAGACAGCTGAAAGAGCGCCACCTGGAAAACAAAGGTCTCCTTATAGACGGGATTGGGCTGACCACGTCGGATCGACGTCTTGCAGCGAGACATCTCTTGACCCACAGAATTGAAGAGAAAGAGCTTTCCGTATGTATCTAAGAAGGAAACAGTGGAAATGAGAAAACATCAGTGCCTTCTGTTTTGCTAGTTTAATTGCAATATCTACATGGGCAGTATATTTTTCCTTTTTAACATACTGAGCAGCATCTTTAGGCTTGGAACTTGCTGTTGGACTAACACATGGCTTCTCTGGTGACTCAGTCAGTAAAGAATCTGCCTGCAATGCAGGAAATCTGGGCTCGATCCCTGAGTTGGGAAGATCCCCTGGAGAAGGGAATGGCAACCCACTCCAGTATTTTTGCCTGGAGAATTCCATGGACAGAGGAACCTGGTGGGCTACAGTCCATGGGGTTGCAAAGAGTCAGACATGACTGAGCGACTATCACACACACAACACACATCTTACATGAACTCTTCAGGAAAGGGATGATTACCTTTAATGCTTAATGTTCCATGTGGCCCACCATTGGATACCATGCTGATCTTCACTGGAAGGTCTACACATGCAGGGGTGTGTACGTGCAAAGGCATGTGTGCAGTGGTATTTGTAGACATGCATATTCTTCATCCATATTTTATTTATGTAACAATATATATACATTTTGCTCTATGTGTTTCTCTTTTCATTGTCAAAGTACTATTTATGCCTAAAGAGTCTCTTCTTTTCTCACTCTCTGCATATTCTTTGGACCATCTCATCCACTCAATGACAACTGCCAGATCTGTATCTCTGACCTAGACTTCCCTTCCAAGCTCAAAATCCAATGGAATACCACATTGTTTCTTGTAAAATCCCATCTCACACATATCATATCTCCCTTTTAAAAACTAGCTGTTTTAGTGTCCCCCAACTCTGTGAATGTAGCATCATCTGCTCAAGTCCCAAACCAGAACTCAGGACCGCATTTTTGACAAGACTGGCTTCCTTACCTCTAGTCCAGCTGATCAGTAACCAAGTTCTGTTGATTCTGCCTCCACAACAGCTCCCAAATCCATCCACTTTCTTCCCTCCCAATGCTGCTGAGCTCTTGATGTATACTGTCAGCTCAGGTCCCAACCTCTCCCACTTGCATTACTGCATGTTTCTTTGCTGATGTCCATCCAGTCACTGGATTGACAAATCCCATAGTCAAAGGTCTGTATAGTCAAAGCTATGGATTTTCAAGTAGTCATGTATGAATGTGAGAGTTGGACCATAAAGTCCTGAATATTCACTGGAAGGACTGATGCTGAAGCTGAAGCTCCAGTACTTTGGCCACCTGTTGCAAAGATCTGACTCTTTAGAAAAGACCCTGATGCTGGGAATGACTGAAGGCAGGGGGATAAGGGGACAACAGAGGATGAGATGGTTGGATTCGGCATCACAAACTCAATGGATATGAGTTTGAGTAAGCTCCGGAAGATGGCAAATGACAGGGAGGCCTGGCGTGCTGCAGTCCACGGGGTCACAGAGTCGGGCACAACTGAGCAACTGAACAACGACAATAGTCAGAGGGGTCTTTATAAAGTACAGATCTGGTTGTATCACTCTCACTAATAAAGACTAAACCTTCAATACAGCCCACTAGTCTCAGGATAAATAACTAAACTTCTCAGCATAGACTACACACCCTGACCCTTTAATCTTCCAGTTTCATTGTGCCTCACCATTGCCTTTAGACACTGCATCCCCACTCCACTGGACTACCTTCATCCCTCCATCCTACCCTGCTCCTCCTTCTCTTTCACCTCTGCATATGTTATACATGCCCTGACATCCCAAATGATACCCACCTTTCAGTTCAGTTCAGTCGCTCAGTCGTGTCTGACTCTTTGCAACCCCATGGACTGCAGCACCCCAGGCCTCCCTGTCCATCACCCACTCCAGGAGTTTACTCAAACTCATGTCCATTGAGTCAGTGATGCCATCCAACCACCTCATCCTCTGTCATTCATTAGTTTGATTTGGATGCCACTTTACCCGAGAATCTTGGATGACCACTTTCCCCCATGCTGACCATCTGCGGGCTCCATCAAAATCTAATTTTAGTCTCTCTCAGCACTCATTACCCAGCATTTCCATTGCCTGTTTACTTGTCTGCAAAACTGTCAGTTCCCAGATGGGAGAAAGAGAGATTGCCCTATTAACCATTGTACCCCCATGCCTGGTATAATATCTAACATGTGGTAGACACTCAATAAATATTAAATATTTTGTAATGAATGTTTATGACCATCCAGGAGCCTTGATTTTCTGTTTTCTTCTGGACTTAAGTTTTCAAATTTGCAAAATGGAGCTGAACCCCTCATTTTATAACCCCTGGACTAGAATGCCATCAGATGGTCACTAGCATCATAGGTTTAGTCATTTATAGAAAGTAAGTACTAACATAGTCTATTACTTTTGCTAATGGATAATTATAAAAAATTATATCTTAAGAAAATTCTATTTTTACTAAAATCACATAATGTATCAATATCTTGACTTTCTCTTAACTACAACTTTTACCACTAATTTATATGTGTTTTATCCTTTTAAAGAAATTCTATGTTTTGGTGTTTCCCAAATTTTATCATTTTGTCCATTCTGTTCAATATGGGCTAAATGCCGATTCGTGCTTACTGCTCACTTTCCCACCTAACAACCAGTCAAACTTTTTAAAGTGTAAACCCAGATCCCTGTAATTTATCGTTCTCTACAAAGGCACTGTAAGATAGGAAACAAATTACAACCTGCAGTTTTCTTTCTTTGTTGATCTTTTTCTATTCCGGTTTGATGTGTTATTTTATGCACTTATCTGCTGAGAAACACAAGGTGTGAAATTGCACTTCAGGTGTGAAAACACTTTTCTGTCTCAGAAACAGGGCTCTCCACTCTTCAAACTGCTCTATGGAAAAAGCTGTCAGCAAACTGACAATAGGGAGTGAACTTGTGTTTCCACATCCATACAGCTACACAATTCCTGGAGGAAAAGTTCAATCCAGTCACCAAACTGATTTGGCAATTCTGCTGCCAGTTATGGCAGTGGGAATTGAATTAATCTTGCAAACAAAGACTTGCTCATTTCACAAAGAGAGCAATTTCCAGCTTTCTCCCGGTCAGATTATTTTCTAATTACAAGAAAGGCTATTTACAACCAAACCACCATCACTGAAGCTGAATTGTAAGTGTATGACAAAAGGGGGAAATAATAAAAGTATAAATGATCCAGTCTGAGGACATCTAACCAGAAGAAGAGAAATGCCGACTGTTTTAGCTCAAAAGGGAACCTTTTATTCACAGTAATCATATGCTTACTTTTTAGCTATCCAGGGCTATGACCAGAAAATTCTGCTTGTGAGGAATAGTGAGGAATAAGGTTGGAGTGTTTGGGGGTTCAATGAGCATCAGTCAGACTGGAAGAGAAAGGGTCAAGTAAATACGCAGCTTTACTGAGCTGTTTTAATTCTTTGGAATTGACAGTGTAATACTTGCTGTAGATCACCACCAAGCAGTATTTTATCTTCTGTTGATGATTCAGACACCTCTCAGCGTCTCTAACAACATAAAACCATCATCAAAAGGCTGAATGGGTCACAATCCCCTGGTAGTTCTGGATACTGTCCTCCTGACTCAGCCTGTTAACTGTCATGGTTCACTGTCACTTTCTCCACAATGAAGACACCACATGAACCAAAAAAAAATTATAACAGCAAAATATTTCCATTTTATCATGGCACAAACCTATGTCATTTGGGATTCAGATGTCATCTTTTCAAAGAAACAACGCAATACCACAAAAGGTAGTTACACAGCTCATAGAAAACAGCTGCCCGACAGCAGCATGATGGTCTGTCATTTGTAACAGACTTAGCCTTGAGGTGGGGATGGGGCACTACGATTCTCTGGGCAAAGGAAAGGAATTTGGTCATTTAACCTCTCCTTAGCTTCTAATGTGCTACTCCACGTTCAAGGTCAGGAGGGGCAGCCAGAAGATACCCCTCGTCCAAGGTAAGGAGCAGCAGCTACACTTTGCTGGAGCAGCCGTGAAGAGATACCTCACATCCAAGGTAAGAGAAACCCAAGCAAGATGGCAGGTGTTGCGAGAGGGCATCAGAGGGCAGACACACTAAAACCATAATCACAGGAAACTAGCCAATCTGATCACACAGACCACAGTCTTGTCTAACTCAATAAAACTAAGCCATGCCATGTGGGGACACCCAAGACGGTAGGGTCATGGGGAGAGGTCTGAAAGAATGTGGTCCACTGGAGAAGGGAAAGGCAAAACCACTTCAGTATTCTTGCCTTGAGAACCCCATGAACAGTATGAGAAGGCGAAATGATAGGACACTGAAAGAGGAACTCCCCAGGTCTGAAGGTACCCAATATGCTACTGGATTTCAGTGGAGAAATAACTCCAGAAAGAATGAAGGGATGGAGCCAAAGCAAAAACAATACCCAGTTGTGGATGGGACTGGTGATAGAAGCAAGGTCTGATACTGTAAAGAGCAATATTGCATGGGAACCTAGAATGTTAGGTCCATAAATCAAGGCAAATTGGAAGTGGTCAAACAGGAGATGGCAAGAGTGAATGTCGACATTCTAGGAATCAGTGAACTAAAATGGACTGGAATGGGTGAATTTAACTCAGATGACCATTATATCTACTACTGTGGGCAGGAATCCCTTAGAAGAAATGGAGTAGCC